CCGCACGGGGTGGCACGAAACCATCGACTGTGTGCCCTGCTTATCCTCGCGCGTCGTGACCGCCCGAGTGTCAGCAATATTAACCCTTTGTACTCGTAATTATTCGAACCTTGGTGTGTCAGTTAGTTCATAATGTTCCTTAGAATCTGGATCTGTTCCTCTAGAGTATAAGAAAGAAGTGGACATAACTTTTCGATTTCGCAAGGTTTTGTATGTCACAATTTTTCTTGTGTATTTCTTAATTTTCTAGTCTTCCGAAATCAATAATTAAAACACTTAACTTTGTCTTACAAGGAACACTAGGCAACTCAAAAGTTTAGAAAATTGTGAAACTTTGTGTGCAAGTAGAGTACTTCATCCGTAACACAAAACTATTTTTTGTTCGTGCGGAATTACAGTTTTAGGGGGTGAAACATCCTTTTGAAAAAAATCGGTTTTTTTTTTCTTTTGAAGCAAATATCATCAAAATTATAAAAAATAGGAAAAATTTTTTAAAGTGAAAATTGAATGATTTCAAGAGTACTTTAGAACTGATAAAAAAACAATTTTTTTAATTGTTTATTTATTGTATACTCTCAATCCCATCCTTATTTAAAAAAATTTTTTATTATAGTTTTAAAGTACTCTTGAAATCATTCAATTTTCACTTTGGAAAATTTTTTCTATCTCTTATAGTTTCGACGATATTCAAAAGAAAAAATCGATTTTTTTCAAAGGGGTGTTTCACTCCCCAAAAACTGTAATTTCGCATGAATAAAAAAGTTTTGTGTTACGGGTGAACTACTCTACTCGCACACAAAGTTTTAAAATTTTTTGAATTTTTAAGTTGCCTAGTGTTCCTTTGTTAGTTCCTGTTAGTTCTGAAAGCAGACATCCGTCAAAGGGTGAGTAAGGACCGTCTACAGTGAGAGTAAAGTATGGCTGTAAGAAGTAAGAGTAAGAAATTGACTAATCACAGTCAAATGTAAGAAGAATAATCGATTGTGATCGGTTAATTTCTTAGGCCCGATCTACAATAGATGGAGTAAGGAGTAGAAGCAGGAGTAAGATGAAATAGAAATTTATTTCGCTTACTCCCTTACTCCAGCTCCTTACTTCAGCTCTTACTACTTAATTCAGGCTTACTCCATGTAATGTATACGGACAAACTTTTATTGGAGTAAGGGAGTAAGCGAAATAATTATTTCCATTTCGTCTTACTCCTTACTCCTTACTCCATCTATTGTAGATCGGGCCTTACTCTTACTTCTTACAGCCATACTTTACGCCCATTGTCCATCTTAAGCGTCTTCTACAATGGCAGTAGGAGTAGTAGTAAGAAATAAGCAGTAAGCAAATTGACCAATTCCATTCTTATGTTTCAAAAATAATCGATTGTGATTGGTCTATTTACTTACTGCTTATTTCTTACTACTACTCCTACTGCCATTGTAGAAGACGCTGTAGAGCTGTCGAAAAAGAAAACTGCGAGGTCTCGGCTCCGTCCAAGAACGAACCTTGACCCGCGACGAGGTTCGTGCTGGAGCGACAGCCCCGTGCTGCAACAATGCAGGATCCCACACAGCTGGATCTGTGTGTGAAGTCCCGGCAAATTGCGTGCGCGCTCCACCGCGCCGTTTCTGTAACGGACAAGCGGCGCGTTACTCGTGCGTACGTGCGACCGGGATCCGGTAATGAGCGCATGACGATCCGCGGCTAATCGTCGCCCGGAGGAGCCGTCGAGACGTGAAGCTCGCATCGCCCGATCGACCTCGCTGCTCCGTCCTCGCCTCGTCTCGCCCGCGAGTCCTTTGATCTGGCCGACGATGGCCAATAACAGTTCGGCCGCGCCACAACCGTGATTAATAGATCGTTGCCGCTACCGCTCTCGCTTGGTCGATCCAAGCAAGAACCTGAACCGCGCTGCAATCGCGGTACAATTGCAACTGCAAGATGCGGGCTAATGGAAGAGAGGTCGAGTATCGATCGCATTCCGGTATTACCGCCGTGATAGCTGTCGATTTTCTCGCGACTCTAGACGGTCGTCCGATTAGTTTTAAGGACCTAATATGGCGGTTTCGCAAGAAGATTCTCGGCGACAGATGACGATCCGTGTGGGATGCCGCAGGTGACTCGTCTCAATCGGGAGAGAGGTTTAATGCGCAACAACATATTAGCGACGGTAAATCTCGTGAGACCACGAGGGCGGAAATATTTTAATTGCGCGCGCTATCTCGAGGACAAGGAGGGCTCGATAATAAATATGGAGAATAGGCGCGTGCTAAACGCTTAAGCTGCATCGATGAAAATTTATGAGCACCCTCCGCGTTTTATAAAAGACGCGAGTCGTGCGGAATAAAATTCGCTTGCAGCTGGCGAGTTTCTCGCGGTATTTGAAAGTAGAATGGCGAGGGATGCTGATGCGCGTTCTCTCTCTCTCTCTCTCTCTCTCTCTCTTTCCTTCTACCCTTTTCGCCCCTCTTTTCTTTCTCACTCGCTCCCGTTATCACGTCTCTCCGTCGTTATGAGCTGACGACCGCGCTGCGTAACGAGGAATTATAGCTGGAACCGACACCGGAGTCTGTACAGTATCCAACGAGCATGAATTTCACCCGATTATCGGATACGCGTGGCCCATGCTAAATACCAGTCCGGCCACACTGCAAGTGAAATAGTAGAAATCCATTAAAGGGCTTTGTGCGGACACTGCCGGTTATACCGGGTAGTGCGTTGCTTCCCGTCGTGAAAGAGAGATTCGGCAGGAAACGCGTGTCAGTTTTCGCGCGAAACCTTCCTCCCGACGAAATTCGGGAAAATCGCACCGTTTCGAATTTTTCTGTCAACTTTCAACTGCACGTGTGGAATTGTGATTGTCTTTGTTGCACTTTGTACGCATTTAAATATCAAATAATATCGTACAATAGGAATTATGAACTATACGCAACATACGGAAAAATATCGTTCTACTGTTAGAAACAGCTCAGTTTACTTTTTTAGGTTACTTTCTTATAGAGAATATTTTTTTGATGATAGTCTCAAATGATGATATTCACCATAAATTCGAAGAAATCCACGAAATTCGATGCTTATAATACATTAATGATAAATTTGTAAATATATTTGTAACAAGTAACATTCACTTGAATGCAGTGTGCATTTTTCCGTGTGTATGTACGACGTGCGGTGCGTTATGCGTAGCCCAAGTGTTTTGAATTTCATTATTAATTATATTATTCAAGCGCTACATCGACCGTGTGCTTTCCTCGGAGATAGGCGAAATTCTGCCGCGGATTTCCGCGTAGGGTGAAACAACACGCCTGGCGGGGTATTGTAAAGTATATATCGGGAATATCGGTTTCTCTCCTCGCTCGCCCAGCCAGCCGAGCTCAAGCCAAGCTGAGCCGCAATTTATGAAACACAGTGTGTATGCGCTCGCGCGCGTACACGTGCGTGAGTGCGTGCGGTGTTTGGACGCGACGCGAGCTGTCGTGGCCGCTCCAACCCTTCCGCGAAATACCGCGGCTACCGTGTTTTTCCACCCTTCCGATCGTATTCTATCTCGCGGCCGCAACCGCGTGTCGCCCGCGCGGGCATCCGTGCACAAACACGCGGGCGCGCACGTGCGCCGCAATAAATATGCGTGAGCGATAGGAGATTAATCGCGCGCCGTAAACAGAGATTACCTTCCGACGCGAATTAGCCTTAGCGAGTGATTCGAGAGGATGGCCCCGCGGGGACAATGAAAACCGGCGCGGCATAAAGCCGGGGATTTAAAAACGAAAACGCGACACGACTGCTACCTCTCTCTCTCTCTCTCTCTTCCCCCCTTTCACTGTTTCTCTTTCTCTCAGCCGCGTTTTCGAGGGTTGTTTTTCACGGGGAGAAAACATGCGCTCTCTCTCGCTGTAAAAATAAGGGTATTACCAGGAAAACCGCGCGCTCGCGCGCAAATATGTCGCGTGCGTTCGGATGAGAAACGTTACGATACCGCCGCGAAACTGCTCGCGGGATTAGAGAGGAGTTTAACCTCGCGCGGGCATTGAATCCACGTTGACGCGATTTTACGCGGATATATGAATTCCCATCGACGTTGACGGGCCAAACGCCGTCGACGCGCGTCCCACTTCGTATCGATCTGCATATACACGGACTCATTTGCGGGTATTCTGATACCGGCGATTTCCTGGCGACGCGACAGCAACTCTCACACGACTCCGTCCAGACACCCCCGAGACACTCCTCCTCCCGTAGGTTTCCAAGTGGAATAAAATTCGTCGTTGCCATCCCAGACAGCCTCGGGATTACGGGAGCCGCGTTCGCGATTGTTTTTGCCGGCATTAATGATCGATGCCAGTCGAGAGCGCGCGAGGATGTGCCTCCAGGTTGTTTGCGATGTCGCGTCGTGGCGCCGTAAGATCCGGAGGGGATAGTTTTCCTTCTTTCTCTCCCTTTCTCTCTGTCTTTCTCGCCAAGGTTGCTTTCACCCTCGCACAGCCCCCGTCGCTGGCAACACTCGCCCTCTATCATTCATCCTCGACGCCTTCGAATTTACTTGGGCCGCCCCCTCCCGCGAGGGCCTTCGTCGTCTCGCTGTATTGATATATCGTCGCGCTTGGATTCGCGTTACACCTCGGAATCGTTGATCAATGTTACGAGGCCGACGAGGCCATGGAAGAATGCCTCGCCTCGTAAAAGGGACAGTTCCGGCCGTATCGGCTTTCGACTCGGCGCGGATTATTGATTGCTCGTCGACGGCAAGTTCCGCGTTTCCCCCGCGACCTGCGACTCGACGCTGCATTATGCTGAAAAAGTAGGCGAGAATACGTAGTCGTCTGAGTCGGTTTAAATTACAATCGAACTTGAAAGACCAACAATTTTCTCTGTCATGTCGAGATTTAATTCTCCGTCAGGGACACGCGCGAGTTTATATAAACTTGGAAGAGAATTACTTAATTCTAAAGCGAAGCAATTGTGAAACGTTAAATTTCCCTTTGTAATCCGTTTTATTTGATCTCTTACAGACGATGGGAATTTCCAACGGATTTGGAGCTCCAACAGAAGCGAAGAGGGAGGAGCTGAGTACAAAAACGTGTGTGATCACATTGAGGCTCTGTAGCGTATTGAGAGCGTTGATTGTTGTCACATCTCGCGCTCACCGAGTGTTTACGTCATTCAGCGGCGACGACAGTTGATGTTTGATGGGGGGTGACTTTTTGCCGACTGCTTTGATTGTCGTGCGCGACGCGTACGTGTCCGGGAACCGTGTTATTACGTCTCGAGCCGACGTTTGGGACACATAAAATATATGGACCCTTCTCGTAATAATCGGGATATATCGTCGGCATCGCGTCGATTCACACGTTTCTCCGATCAAATCACGAGTGTCAGTGTCACGAGGAAGTATCATGACGTAGCAGCCAGATGCCAGGATGGAGGACGCGGGATGCCGAGACGCCGGTGCAACGCATCATATATTTCTAGGTATGTGAAATCATTTATTATGCGGGGTGTTTCTGATTTTAACGAACGTCTGACGAACTCACCGAGAATGAGACATCCGAGTCGAAATCTAGGCTATTCATACGTTTCTTTTACCCCCATTTATATCTCCCATTAATTTTTAGATTATTTAACATTTGCTTATCACGAGTGTGGTGGATCATATAATTAACCCTTCGTATACATACTTATTTTTTCAACCTTCGCATACACATTGGGTGGTTGCCATTTTCAAACAGTTGTATCTTTTAAAATATTTATGCAAAAATTCTGAAAAAATTCATGGATTAACTTAAATGTTTATAGAAAGTATTTACATACTTTTGGTATTAAAATTTAAGAAATTTCATATTTAAAAAAAATTATTATATTTCGCGATTTAAAAAAAGTGAGTTTTTGCAAAAAAATTTGTAACTTGTAATTTTTAAGTAAACATTTAGCATTTTATTGTTGAAATGTTTATCTTTAAGGAAAAAATTGTCTCGTAAGCCATCTCTAGAAAAAGTATATTTATTTTGAATATCAAAGTTCCATTATTTTCACTTCAGACGGCTGCCAGAAACTAACTAACGCTTATTTTACTAGCCAAATGGAATCAAAGCATAGTTAAGATCCCAAACTACAATTAGATTGCGACACTACTTCCATTTATTACTGCATTTATTACTTAAAAGGTACAGAGCGCTAAATTTTAGTTATGAGTGGTAACCACCTAGTATATATACGAAGAATAAATAAGATAGAATATCGAGATAATCGAGTGTTAAATAATTCTGAGTTAGGGCTTCTTGTGAAGCTCTAACTTGGAGAAAACGGCAGTAAGTATTTGCACTAAGATACTGTACGCATAGCTCTATATTTTGAAATTCTTCATTGGTCCTTCAAGTTCGACGGAATTTGCAGGGTTGATGTAGAACCAGAATTTCAGACGCGATATTGCTCAGATATTTGCGAAAACGCTCACCCTCGTAGCGCGGAATTTGATATCAGACTCAAGAAGAGATTCCACAGGGATTCTTGACTGCATTAAACTTTATTATTACGAAACAAAGCACACGAGACTTGATTTTAGCGTGTCCAGTCTCTGCGAAATTCGACTGAATCGCTCGCGAAGAAGAGTCCCTATTTCTCGGGATTAATTGATTCCAATCGTGCTGTCTCGGCCCTTTAATCCATTCGTAGCATTATTGGATGTTGCGTTAACGTTACATTATTATTCGTCACGATTAATTGTTGTCTCGACTACGGCGTGGTACAACAATTCATGGGGGGCATTAGAATATAAACGACGCGAGGCGACCGCGGAATCCGCGTGCGAGCGCTCGATTAGAATGCAAATCGCGAGAGGACCACCCTTCCCCTTCCCCTGCCACCCCATAGCACACGCTGCGTTTTGATAGCGTTACCATGGGCGAGGCAAGAAGGCCCTCTCTCTATCTATCCCTCCCCGCACCTCTGTCTCTTTGTTGTCTCGTGCAGCCGTCCCGGTGAGGGTGGATCTCGCCGATGAATCGATGCTAACGGCGCGTGTGATACGAATCTGCATAACTAATCGTCGCTCTTTGCGCGACGTTTTTCGGGCCCGGAATAACGTCGTTAGGTTTCCTTTGAGACACAAATTCGCCGTGAACTCGATTAGCGGCAAAGACGCGGCGAGATATTTCGTAATGCGTATCGTTTCGCTCATCCGACGTACGCGTGTCGGCATACCGCGTCGTTTTGCCACTTTTGTTCGCGAAATACAGTACACGGCGCGCCACCCTCGCCGGCGGTAAGCGCGCGAAACAGTCTCACGAATCTCTAAAGAGCGAGGTTCTTCCCGCCGGGGAGAGCGAGCGTGTTTTGCTTTTGTCGCGTTATTGAAAACGTGTGGCATTTTTGGCCTCTTCAGGGACGAGTGTAGTAAAGTCAGAAGAAAATAATTTAATCTCAAAGCGACAGAAATATGACATCTGTCAATCACGCTACGAGATTGCCCTTCTCATTTCGCGGTGAATTCAATTTTGTGGTTTGCTCACAATATATATCGTTGCTTACCTTTATTGACAATATCTGAATCAAAAAACACAAAAATCGAATGTGTCGAATGTGAAACGTACACATAGTTTACAATCTTTCGGTTATAATTTTTGTTCTCCTAATGATTTTTTCGCAATATTTTTTTCTTAATAATTAATATATAACATAATTTCTATTTTATTTTTTTTATACATATCATACACATCTTTTCTTTTCCCAAAAAAAATGTTCTTTCTATTAATAAATAAATAAATATCTAAATATATAAGTCCAGATAAATATATAAATATATAAATTATAATTATATAAATATATACATATGTATACGCTAATATATATATATATATATATATATATATATATATTATAAATATATGCGCTAATATTTCTGAAGAACTAACTCTTTCCTACTCGAAAGACAACTTATGATTGTATTTCACTGTGCAATTACAGTACCAAATACCAAACACTTTTTGCTCAGTGCAGTAACCCTTCTTACGAGATACCTCGCGACTTTTCTTCTCCTGCAAGAAATCTCGCGAGATCCACGAAGACACAAAGAAGAGTTCTAATTCGCTTTTCATTCGCGCCGGCGATCTCGATCTCACGACACGAGGGTATCCCTGTATCAAAATGAAAATCCGTTGCGTCCCACTCTTGTCTGACATCAGCAGGATCTCTGCGCTACGTGGCGCCGCGAACGCGCTTATTTCTCGTGCTCGAGGAAAGCATCGGTACGGATTACAACCGCGCGAGAATCGCGGTTTTACAGCGAGCGCGCGGTTTTACAACGAGCGCGCGGTTTTACAGCGTACTCACCGTGTCCGAACTAAAAGGAGCCCCCTTTAACGATCTAATCCCGCGAAAGTCGCTCCGCCGCTCCTGTGTACGTATATCCTAGCCGAATGTCGGCCGCAGGAATATTCCCACATGATAAAAACAGAGGCAATTTGCCAAAACGTCGGCTTGATGGCTGCTCGGCGCGCTCTCCTCACAGACAACCCCCAACACACGAGGGTTACGTCGCGCTCAGTACTTTCGGGGGTTTTAGGGCGGCTTGGAGAGAAGGGAAGACGCGGCAGGCAGGCAGTCAGTCGCGCGGGGTTGGCAAGGCACGGCGGCTAAAGGAAGGTCGACGATACGTCGACGAGAACTTATAGGACGAAGTGGAGTCTGCTCTTTCTCTCTCTCTCTCTCTCTCTCTCTCTCTCTCTCTCTCTCTCTCTCGCTCATTCTCTTTCCTTCGCCCTCCTGCGTTCCTCCCAACGAGAGGAGAAACGAGAGGAGGGTCGAGGATAACGCGAGCAGGACGCGACGGGATATCTCTCGCAGGAAGGAAAGTGGGATGTAAATTGCTCGCACGTACATTAGTCATCATCACTCGCAGCCCTCACCTCAACTTTGTTCGAGAGAAGTGCCGGTCGACCCTTGTCCCGTCTCCTTGCTCCTTATCCTCCCTCCTACTCGCTCGTCACCGAAGACACTTCTCTAGCCTTTAGCCTTTTCCTCGTCCGCCACTAGACGCCGTCATTTTCGTCGACGTCGTCTTCCTCCCGAGCTAGCTTTACCCTGTCTCGTTGCCACCCCATCGACCGTCTTTTCCGTTTCCCGTCCCTCCCTGCAGTCCGAGTTTTATAGTTGCATCTCCGCGGCGCTCAGTTTTCCGTATTCGGTTACATTTGCGTTTTCCTAGACAGTGGCAGTTCCGGAGGAAACTCTGTTTGTTTCGCGCGAAGTTGATTCTCGTTGAGACCCGCTGCGGGGGTTCGCGTCCCGGACAATTGGCGCGTTTCACGCGTCGTCTACGTCCATCGACGAGAATCGGCCGTTGCCGCGCGGCGTTAATTTATTCAGCGTCTACGTTACCGTGGCTTCTCCCGACCCTGGGAAACGGAATTTCCCTTCTGTCTCGCCGTCACTCCCCGCCCGCTCCGCTCGCGGCGCGGTAAACGACGCTTGTCTAACTTCCATAGAAATACATTTCGTCGTAGGAAGGGAATTGCTAACAAGTTGCGCGCGGGGTGGGCGAGTTCACCCCCCGCTGGAAGTTTCGTTACGGCCCGATCGTCCTCAGCATGAACACGTGGCGCTCTCTTCTGATCCGCGCTTCTCAGACGAGTCTCATCCGCGCGCCGGGCTTTTCGGCAAATATTAGTTTACGAACTTTATATATATATATATATATATATATATATATATATATATATATCCACTCACGCACGACCACAGTCGAGTGCCTGAGAGAATCGCGACGGATGATCGAAATAGCATAGAGAAGTGAAACTCTCGTAGCGTCTTGTAATTTCGCATGGCTTCACGTGGCTTTCCCATATTAACCTCCTGCGCCCGTAATGCTACCGTTCGAAAATTTGTTTCTTCGTACACGTGCTGCGAGTTCTCCGCGAGAAACGTCCGTGCACAGAACAGGAATATCATTCCACTGCTGAGAAAAGCGATGACTCATTTTACTTTCTCTCTTATAAATAATGATTCGTCTTCGACAAGCAATATTTTCTTGACAAGAATGCTCAACTTTCGTTTGAAATTTTACACGACGAAAGGATACAGAACAAACTCGATCTTCGTCACAGTGAAGTGAATTTTTAAAACAGTTCTCGCTCTTCTCCTGAAAATTTACGATTTCGCATACACGAAGTACAAGTATTATTCTCAATCGTGCACTTTTGTTCTTATCTCCGACAACGCGTTAAGCGCTTTATAATTATCTTATGGTGTTGCAACAACAGACGTGTGCTGATTAGAGATGGGCGATATCGATACCGGTTATAGCTATAATCGATTATAGCTTATAATCGATTATTTCTGTTCGATGTCCCATCTCTAGTGCTATTTTTTACCTTAAAGCTACGCTCGTGATTAACTACAACTCATAATTAAAGAAGATTAATCAAAACAAAGTCGAAATAGAAAAGATCTGTGCTTATTGTTGAACCGTGAAGAGA